ACTAAGATAAAAACTTAAAAGCAATCTACCGCGAAGAACCTGCGCATTTATAATACACTATTGCACGTCTGGAACTGAGCATGGAACCCACTCTTGTCAGAAAAAAAAAGATTGTCAGCTATCCTTTTCTAACATGCCTTAACAACCTTGTTCGGAGTTACCCCGCGTTCGCCATTACCCGACTCTCCCCTATCCAATTATTTAGTAAATTTCATTTAATCTTTCTCTAATTTTAACAAAACAAAACTTCGAAATTCAAAAAATTGAATGTGTTCAATTATTGTATATTGATACTGGTAAATATCAAGTTTCTTTCGGTGTTGTTAATCCTTACCCTTCAATACAAAACAAAAAAAGTATAACACAAGTATTAAAAGCAAAATTAAAAAAGAAAGTGATTTAAGTCGAACCACTTTTTCATCCCCATACAGCAAATTTTCTTGAATTTTTAGTATTGGAAAAAATTAAAAATCAAAATAATCAATCACTCATATATATTCTGAAAAAATATTACAACTACAAATAGTAATAGGACAACTACATATAGTATTTTCACTAATTTTAAGTAACACCAAAAATATAGAACTAAACTCAATAACTTGATTAAATATTTTTTAAAAATCATCCCATATAAAACAAAAATAACTGTAGCATAATATTTTCAATATGCTTTCGTTTTTATTTAGACCGAATAGAATAGATCGTTATTAGATGTAAAATAACGCTACAAATATAATTTGTTACAAAATAAATCATAATAAAGTACCTTTAAAAAAGCAATTCTTGTTAGGTTTTATATGGTATTATGATTTTCTGTTTTTAAGGTCACTCCATCATTTCTACCTAAAAAGTTACACCTAACTTCATTCTTTACCTCTAAAACTTTTTTTGTTTACATGTACATCTTTTAATTTTTTTATTTGTGCATGTATTTATTTGAACACTAGTGACGGATCTAGGATTTTTTGGTATTTATGATAGCTAACTTCCAGACATAGAACTAATTCCAAACTTTTGTATGTTTATACGTATGTTAAATAATGAGGTTTTGCAAAAATTATGACCATATAAAGTTTAAACTCTCCAATTTGAGAAGGTTACAATTCAGTGAACCACTATTTGCAACGACCTGTGTATTTTTTATTTTGTTGTTGTTGTTTTTTGTTTTTTGGTAACATTCTTATTAACACGAAATATATTAATTGATTTGATTGATATTGATTGATTTAATAAATTTCTTAATAAAAGATCGCCAGCTTTTAGACTTTGTATGTTAAATATACACCATATATTATTAAATATACGCTATATATTTAATGTTTATACTTTAGCATCGAATAAAGAAAAATCGCCTTAACTCGAACTAATATCTCATATCAACCATAGTTCGACTTGACGGGATTTTGCTTTAGTCGAATTAAATGTATATGCTATTGGTAGAAAAAAAGTGCATACATAAGCTTTTTAATCTAATGACTCTAAATATTATATAATCAAAGAAAACAGAAATACAGTATTTACATTCCTATAACATTTTTTAGAATTAAAATTTTTTTAGTTTTCAACACAATGTTTGATTTTATTTTGATTGAACTTAACTAAATATTCAGTATCTGATAAAAAGACAAGAGTTAAATTAAGTATTGATTTCTTTTGTTTAATAAAAAAACTTAAATGCTATAATTAGTTACCAACAACACCATTAACAATGTCATGAATGAATTTTGAATGATGCATGAATTTTTATTAATTTATTGAAAAATTAAAAAATAGTGTTGAGAACAAACTTTTTATACTATTAATCTACAATATATTGCTTATCAAATGAGCTAAGTATCAAATATTCACTTTTTTTTCAATTTTCAGAAAATATTTAGTGGTGTACCACCTTAAAGGCATTGTTATTAGTTATGTTTTCAGTTGATTTGGCTTATTTTTGATTTTTGGCTTTTATTTTTGGCTTATATTTTTGGCTTATATTTTGGTTTATATTTTTTTTCTTTTCTCCAAGAAAAGATTTAAACAAGTGCAAGTCATCACATCAGCAAAAACCTTTGCATTCACAATAAATGCTGTCGGAAACAACCTTTTTTTATTTTTACTCGTAAATACAATAAAAATATAACCGAGTATTTTGAGAATACAATAGATACCGCTGACAACTTTCTTGTTTTTGTTCTTCAATTTGTCAACCCTTATTAATGACTTTTATTTGTAATCTTCTGTTTTGTCTTTTTATTTATTTTTTTTATCATATTGGTAATGCGTTATTGATCCTTATTATATGAGAACACTGCAGTTTTTAAACCACTCTCAAGGTTGAAGTGATTTTTACTCTCAAAATATCAGCAATTCCCTCATTAAATACAGCACATCTATAACTATAAACCTAATTTAGTGTTTCTAGGGAACGTTTTCAAGGTTAAATGTCTTGAATAAGCCTAAATAAAAGGGAATAACTCATAACAGACTTAAGTTATGTCAAGATAGATTTCAAAATTATTTACAGCTATGTTTAATTCATATAAAATCTCAGATTAAAACTGAGATTTGTTTAGAGGTGAGCCACCTTAAAGAAACAAAAAAACTCGTCTGAAGGACGTCTGTTAGACGTATCACGGACGTCTAGATGTTCGAAAGACAAC